TATATTAGAGAGAGAGAGGGAGAGAGAGAAAGAGAGAGAGAAGAGGAGAAATATACGAGAGAGAGAGCGATAGAGGGAAGATGGAGAAGTGGAGGCCGGCGGAGAGAGAAGGGAGAGGGAGAGACGAAATAGAATAGGGCAAGAGAGAGTGGCCGAAAGAGAGAAAGGAAGAAGTTGATTTCGTTTCTCTTAGTAGCGTACTACTATAATTTAATATTTGAATTTAATATTAGTTGTCCTTCATCATCGTCTAACTATAACCACTAACTTTCATACAGCGCACCGGCGCTTTCATGTTTGTCAAGTTACATCGCGAGTTTAAGCTCAACGCCAAAACCGTAATTCAGGAGTATTCTACTACGTAAGCTGAGTAAATTACGGTCACATTCTATGGGGGGAGGGTTTCACCATCGGCATAGATGCCTGACTTTATCATTAATTATCTTATAATAGGTTCATATTAAGTTGGTTGACTATGGTATTGATATTGGTTTATCATTGATATTATGTATTTGACGATTGCTGACCTATATCGTTGATTGACAGCGAAGTGAGTTGTAATACGAATTAGACTTATCGAAATTACATCTACAATCTGTAGAAGGTTACGATATACGATAAACTAAGTGTATTACATACATACCGAATGCATATATCCATTTATCCATGCACGGGATACCGCAAGCTGTGTGCTCCCTTTATTTGTAATCTTGACTAATTAAGATCACAAGTAGTAATAATTGAATGTATCGACGGTTAATCCACGCCACAAAGTCACCCATTAGGGTACACAAACTGCCAGCACACTAGTGATACATAATGTAACCCAAACCACAAAAGAGGACACTGCATACATGCTTTCTGCTCGCTATAACTCGCGAGACCGTAGCCCGTGCGTTACAATATTATCAAGAGCATATATAATACTAGAGAATATTAAGCGTATTAAGAACGTATTAAGAGCGTATTAAGAGAGAATATTAAGCGTATTAAGAACGTAATAAGAGCGTATTAAGAGAGAATATTAAGCGTATTAAGAGCCTTCATAATACGCTCTTGATATTATGTATACCTTATTCGTTTGTAAATATTTATTAAAACTAACGAGAGCGCTTTTGATAAGTTGATGTGAAAAATAACAAATCTTATATGCTACACTTTAATAATTTCAACTGCTCAGTGTCCTTATCTTTCTTGCAACGCATGGTAGCTTACATAGCGGCTGATCTCCGTACGATCTCCCCTTTACACGCATCGATCCTTAATACAAAATACCCATGATAACGGTAAAATTTAGCAGTTAAACCTGCTCAATGGCCGTCTCTTTCTCCCAACGTGTCGTATCTTATAGCGGCAGTTTATTTTATAATGCGCAATAGGTAAATTATAATATACAGTACATTAATTATAGCTGCTCTGTCAAACACGCACCAGCTTCAACTGTCAACTGTCGAACTGTCAACGCATCACCATGCATGCATGCATCTCGTTACCATCGCGGGTAATTAGTTTCATTTAGCTATACGCACGCACGCGGTCTCTATGGAATGGTTACGCTATCTCCTACACTTCGTAGATATCGGTAGTATTATATATATAATATTATATATATATATATATATATATTATATCTATATATAGCGCATATATTATATATTTATACGGTCGTCTAACTTTTATTTTTCTTACGGCGGCGCGCAATTACGCCTAGAATTAGTTATTATGTCATACCCTTCATAACATTCAACATTTGTTGATCTTGTGTACGTGTTAAATGTGATGTTACATACCAGTTAGTTTATTTATTTATTATATATTTTTGATGCTCTTGAGCTTATTGTTTGTTGAATTAAGTTTTGTTATGCTAAGCCTATTTGACTGATCATACCTGTTCTCCTTTGCGTAAGCGATCATGTATCTTTCAGGTATGTTAAACTCATGGTGATTCCATATAACAGCCATCATGTAATGTGAATATATAAATCAGGAGCTGAAGATAATTATAGATCTTAATATAAATTAGATATATATAAATATATATATATATATAATATAGATAAGAGATATATGATATACTAGATATATATTAATATTAGAATATACTTAATACCTAGATATATTAAATTATATTATATTTATAATAGTATATATATATTTATATATAATATAGATATATGTATCTTACTCCTGATAATAATCCATTTAGGAGTGGCTGACTCGAAGAACTTCACAGTCAACTCGCCTCCCACGCAATTCTAAACTCATATAACCAGCTATATTATGTATGTATCTTGCAATGCGTGCATAAACATTTTTGAATTGAATTGAATTGAATTGAATTGAATTGAATGAAGGAGGCAGCGATATAGGGTAATCCAGTTTACACACGATGTAGGCCAGCTATTGCCATATAAATAATATAGTAGAATAGGACAAATATTAATAAAATTATAGTGACAAGTACATACAAACATGGATGATTGGTATTCATAATGTATATAAATCTGTTTCATCTATATACATATCTCTAAGGATATTCTCTCACATAGACGGCACCGCTGTCCGCGATATCACTGTGATGTCATCGTAGTACCAGCCTATCACAGCTCGAGCGTTCAAGCGTGACCCCGCCGTGACCTTTTGTCGTAATGTTGGCGCGCGCGCGCGCTGGGCAGTAGCCGCAGTACCAGTGTGTGTGTGGATACTGTTGGGAGCGGGCTTGTTTGTGTACTCGCTGGGTGCGTGCGAGTTGACGTATGTGGAGTAGAAACGACGTACAGTAGGCTACGATTGCGACGTAGCCGTTGCGCTCTACGTGTACTTGCATGAATGATGAGGTCGTGCTAGATCATGATGTAGCTAGCCGCTCACTCTCTACCTCGTCTGAAGTAATAGACTATAGTCTATACAACGCAGAGGTCGCAGGCAACGGTGCGGCTCAAGGATAGAGAAACGGTGCACCAAGTGACCCACTGACTGGTACAGTGGTTGTGGTATTGGAAGTTCAAACGCTGGAGCACACACACTGGGTGAACAGCACATCGCCATCGGCAAGTAACACAGTGTCCGGGAAAGGACCCGTTCTCTTCCCCTCTCCCTTTCTTTCTCTCTCCTCTCTGTCTATCTCTCTCTCTCCCTCTCTTTCTCTCTCCCTCTTTCTCCCTCTCTCTATCTCTCTCTCTCCCCCCTCTCTCTCCCTCCATCTCCCCCTCTTTCTCCTTTATTTACGGTGGATCTGTCTTGCTGACCTTCCGCCCATCTGTCTCCGCTCGCGCGCACCGACCTCCAACGAGGCGCAGGCAGCATCAAATCAAACATGGCCGCCGATTACCTAGACTACAACTTGGACGGCTCCACGCACCTCGACCGCGAGCTGATACAGCAGCAACTGTCGACGACGAACCGACGCTTCGAGCGCGCCTGCGCTCACGTCCGCTTCCTGCAGCGCAGCATCGACGACCTGAAGAAGCTCTACCGGCGCTCCGTCGACGATGGCAACCGCGCCGCGCAGTACAAGTACAAGATAAAGCTGTCGGTGACGATGGGAATCAAGTGCTACTTCTACGACTACGCGTGCGAGAAGGCGCAGGAGGTAGCGGAGATGCGCTACAAGCTCGGCCTCCTCGAGCCCGTCACCGACGACGACGACGACGACGACAACGACAACGTTAGCAACGACGACGACGACGACGATTCGGATGGCAACGACTTCGAAGTGTTGTATCAGAGTGGCGAAGACGACGACGAAGACGCGGAAAACATGGCAGACGCCGAAGATGCGGGGTTGTCGTCGCCGAACGGGGACGGTGGCGACGCGGGACTCGATGGAGGGAAGTCTAAATGACGAATGTCGTTGGAAGCGCGTGCAGCGGCCGCGGGGATGTTGTCAAGGGCTAATAATACGTGTAATATAATGTACAACATACATGTATGTTATGTATTATTAGCTCTTGACTTTTTCAACCTGCACGTGTATACGTGTGCGGGAGCGAGCGTTGTCCGAATTTCCTTCTCATTCCCTACCGATGTATAGTAGTATAGTTTAATTATCGAGTGGTTTAACCGCGAGTGGAGACCCACTATTCCATCGACCTATCTGTTAAAATCATTGCCAGCGGGAACGAGTCTGCTGCCTTCCGGCCCCTTGCCACCACCACGCTCAGGCTACTGCACATACATATGTAACCTCATATATAGATGGTTATGTATGTGCTGTAGCGTGAGTGTGGTCGACACGGTTATGACTTGATTCCGCTGCCAGTGGTTGCGATGATGTGCTGAATTGTGACAATGTACCGAGCTGTGTTGCAGTGTAAGGAAATGTACACATATATGACTAGACATCAGAATCTGGTGAAATATCAGAGATCGCATGTCGTACTACGTACTACACTGTCTTATCAAAGTCTCAATTTCGAGGCCAAATGTATATCCAAAGTTATTTGGTAACACTGTGTCGAAATGTAGATGTATTCAAAGAGTAATCTGTGAAGGCGAGAGAGGAGGAAGCAACGGTTACAGAGCGTAGATTTAGGCGGCATGACCAGGTTCTGTCCACTTCCTCAGTGCCAGTTAAACTGACTACACAGCGAGACACTAGTTTAGAATGCTGAGATACCAAGGGTGCCTATGTGGACAGAGTGTCCAAGAAGCTCAGTTTGTTGAGCCTGCATTGATATGGGTTTTTAATTGCATGGTTTTTGATTTTACAAGGATTACCTGAGTGTTACACCATAGTGTACTTACAGACGGGATTGCTGAACGTGCTTGGTGGCGCCATCTGCAGTGTAAATATGTGTATAACCGATTTGCCGTCCTCGGCTGGTACGAAGTTGAAAGAAATTCTGTGATATTACCTACAATACACTTGACGTTTCTCGTAGTTATTCTCGCTATTTTCTTTTTCGAGAACCACAGTCTAATCCACAGGTAATCGCGAAGTTCACCTTCCATTTAGAAAGGTCAACGAGGCAACAAGAATCATTCAAAGAAAACCCCAATTTCGTGGACAGTTATCAGTTTTATTTTCCGTGTAACATGTAAACTCCTTTCACATAAAAACAGCACATTCATGAGTGTTTTCCTGGTCTGAACCCTAGCTGGCCATTGTCACGTGATGACCCCAAGGCAAAGGAAGATTTCGTTATTAAAAGCTCTTGGTTAAAACGCCCCGTGTCCTAAAAACTGGGTGAATAACATTGGGTGAAATTTGGATTTGAACCAGAGGAAACTATATATAGTCTTTGATATACATAGCCGATTCGAACGTGTACGTAGTTACTCACAGGAAAAACCACCAACGTGGAACATTTTAGACTATTTCTTTCATGTCGGTAAAGACTCATCATTTGCTTGGTGCTCTACACAGAGTCCCAATAATTGTTTCGTGTAAGCCAAAGGACGTCTTACCGTAGAACTCCACGTAAGTAATAAAACCACACAAATTACTAGTGTGCTCCCGGGAAACCTTTCCTCGTGAAACCTAGTAACGAGAGTTCGTGATGGAAGTGGTGGTACGATGCACAAAATCCACTGATGGTGGTGGTAAGATGGGCAACAGCTAGAGCATTGACGACATGCCATGGAACGATCGGACTGCAACATGATGACCAACTGGTGCACCATGAAATGATCAAAACTGTAACATGGTGATAACCTGGTGCACCATGGAATGATCAAAACTGTAACATGGTGATAACCTGGTGCACTCACCATGAAATGATCAAAACTGTAAAACCATGGTGATAACCTGGTCACCATGGAATAGTCAAGACTGTAAACATGGTAATAATAATATTATGGACCACACATGACATGGATAACATGACACACATGGACTGAGCATGATGGCTACCCGGTGCACCATAGAATGGTCAAGACTAACATGATGACCGCGGTGCACCATGAAGGTCACCATTTAACATGATGACAACTGACACACCATGCATGGTCAGAATGTGACACGACATGAACGTTATCCTCGAACGAATGCGGGCGATTCACAACCAGCGGCCGCTATAAAATTAGGGATGGAGGCAACGGTCGAGTGGCGCCATCGTGCGGAACGAGTGACGTCATTAGCTACACCTGGGCATCTCTTGCCGGACAATGACAGCCATACTCTAGTGCGCACGCAACCCAGTGGGCTGACGCTCTCCAATGTACCAATAACATCGAATCGAGTTGATATAATATGGCATTAAATAGTAAATGTAAAAATAGTGAAAATGAGTACATTTAACAAGCATATATAGAGATATATAATTAAACTGAAAGGCTAAATTTCGCTATAGCTCGCAGTTAACATTTCGCTCAAGCGCTCGGACTAAATAATTATATATATAAACTTCTGTCACACTTGACCTTGATTGCTCGAAGGACAACTACGCAAAGAGTAGGGTGTCAAGAAAGAAACAGGTACTCGCAAACACATGTGCAGTGTTCACCCACCACATATGAACACGTGCAACAACTCTAGACTAATCCGCAATGCGTTGTTCCTTTCTCTCGCGCGAATCAAGCGACCGTGGACGATGGTCACGTCACAACATCTCCGTAACTGACACCGGGAATCCACTAGCCCTTACTGAAAACTTGATGCAAACACATTGCAAGTGCACTCTCCGACACCAGCGCATTCCTACTACCCGACTTTGCATAGATGTTCCCCCTACGTACGCAAACAACAAAAATACTTCTATAGAAACTTAGCGAGCTAACAGTCGTGTACGTAAATACGTGTGCCTCCGCGATAGTCCATATATCATGAGTATACAACTAGAATACTACACAAACCGATAAACACGCGAAAAAAAAGCTATTGTGGTTGCAATCTCTTTGGCATATAACCGACTGTACAAGTACATACGCCATGCGAATCACACACACACAGACACTGTCGACACAGTGAAATAAAACCCGAGATTACCTACCGAATCTAAAAAAAACACCGACTAGATGCTTAATAAGTGCGATAACATTACGACGAAGAACTTTCGGAGCGTTGTTGCAACCGAAAATGACCCGTGGCCCTTCTGGTCTCCTTTAGAAGCACCCTGAGGACACGAAAGAGACACTCGTAACGCCGAACACACGCGTACAGAAAAGCCGGGTAATTTTAACCACGAAAAAATTCTGAAACGCGAAAAGCGACGAATTTCCCCCCAAACAGAAAACAATCAACATGAAGCGTAATCAATTTAAATGTGAATCGTGAGGACGCGAACCGGTCGCGCGGTCCTATGGGGGCTGATGGCGAAATGGCGCCGGGCAGCGCGCGTGCCGTGCCCGACGCGACCAACGGACGCATGTCCGGCGACCGTTCTTTGCCACGTTCCCAAACAATCGGGGGCGGGGAGGGGGGGGGGGGGGGCGGCGGGCCGCGACACCGCGCCGGCACGCAGGCGCGCCGTCAGCAACGCCGCGAGCAAAACGTCCAGAGACACCTGGCGAAGGCGCGCGGCGAGACCGCCGGCGCTTCACGTCCGTTATGGTGCATGCATCGCCCACGGCGTTGCGAGTTGCTTCGAACAGCGTTGCATTGCTTGCGCGGCGAGCATAACGTTGGCAGTGCATCGTTTCCCTCGTTTCTAGCAGGGAAGCAGTAAATGACTCCGGCAAGCAGTCTCAATTAATCATGAAGTGCGGCGGATCGCTTACAGTGACGAGAAGCACGAAGGAATAGAGAAGGATGTAGTGACGAATGTAGAGAAGGATGTAGAAAAGAAATTAGGAGGGAATGAGAAAAAGGAATGATATAGACAGAATCCGCCTCAAAAGATCGCTCGCAAGCCCACACCGAACACGAATCAACTCCGCCGATTTCCTAACGCCCAGGGATCACAGCAAACCGCGTCACCAAACCGCGGACGCAACGCGGGGAACCCGATTGGCACGGTGGGTTGGCCGAGGGAGACCCTCGCGTGCGAGAATTCGCGCGCGCCGTCGCGCTATATCAACGCGACGGCCAAACACTAAGGAACTGGAGCAAGGCAAACGAACCAGTTCATGGGCGTGATGAACATGGATGTATCGTAACGATAGTCCCGCCTAGCGCTATCCCCAATACGACCGTTGAATTCTCAACTGTTATCGTGAATTCGTAATTCTCCAAAAGTCGGACAATGTTACACACGAGAACAGAATTTCGTTAAAATTATCAGTTATTAATTAGAAATTATAGTTTACTGCGGCAAGTTTCTTCAACAGAAACAATTAGAGAAACCAGAGTACGATCAACCGAGATCGATACAAAGGGAAACCCTCGAAGTGTCCTTTTAATAGACAGGGGTCCCGCCAGAAAAACAATTTTGACTGTACTCGTACTCTCCTCTCGCATCGAAGTTGCTTCTACGTTTTGAGCTGAGCAGCCGAAAAAAATAACTCTGTTCCGCCATGCTTTCAAGGATAAAACTGAGTCCTGGAACCGCACCAGTTGGCAAAAGAAATATTAATATTTAAAGTTTGACTCGTGACAGGGTAGTTCTGTGGAAGAAAGTCACTGTCGCAGAACGACTGCATTCAGCACTATGTCATGCACTCTGATACCACTAAGCGATTAAAAATTGCTCCACTCCTTGGCAAAATGGCCGCCAGCGTGTCGCTCTAACAACGTGTGGCAACACTATAACACGCACACGTCTAGCGAACCGTCATGTACATCGCACACGCGCGCATATACACGCGGTATAAACACGAGAAGAACACACGCACGCACGAACACGTAAAACTGTGAAAATAATGTGACGAGATATGTAAATTGACATCGGCATGTTATATAATATATATATTATTATACGAGTATCAAGGGTACGAGCGAGCAACGCCCGTGACGAAAACACACGCACACACACAAACTTTACCGCCAGCACACCCACTCTGGCAACGCAGTGCTTGGCCTACACTAGTTCAATTTCCCAAGCTGCAGGCGGCGCGGTTGTGCACGCCCATCTGCACGTAGCGGTGTTAATTTCACGTAGAATTCCATATCCCCTCTCAAAAAAAACAGATGGTAGCAAAATTCTAATCTAAAAAATGACAAGCAGCCACCGGTTATATTTGCGAGCTGTTTCTTGTTAAAAAATCCACTGGCAAGTAGAGCAGACCAAGCGTAATAACCGCGTAGGATGAGTAAAGTGTGTGTGCCCGCGATTTCGTCCACCCTCCCGCGCGCAAGTCCGCATCGCACGTTCCCGATACAAAATGCAAACGCGGCGGTAACGCGCACCGTACAATGTACTACGCTCGCGTCCGTCGGCAACCAGCAACGCGTACGCGTCACCACTCCCGACGCTTCGACAAAAATGGCAGGTGACATGGGTTCGCGTATATATAATATACTGCATGCGACAACCATCGCGTTAGTAATAAAGTTAGCTGCGCAACACCCGGCGCAGGAGCGGGGCAGTCGTGCGGTCGCACCAAGTCAGCCGTCCGCCTCTCCCGCCGCCGGGGGTGCGCGCCGCTTTTGCCTCAAATTGATAGGGGTATAAAGACAGTGCTCGAAAAACCCTGACCGAGCAAAATATGAACGGCGATCTCTCTGCGTAAAGATATGTCAGGTCAGTCTGCGTCGACAGGGTGCTGCTGGCTGCTACTCGCGAAAATACAGGATGAAGGTGCGGGAAGTCGGCCAACACACACACGCGCACACGGGATGCCCGCGCCCCACCGGTGTGCACTATACTTGAATACCTGTTCAAATCCGACCGTGTTCGAAAATCGCGGCCGCGGCATTTTTTCCGCATGCGTAGCGCTGCGAACTTAGCAGCCGGGTTCCGGTCAAAAGCCCGTTTTAATCCTAATACCACGAGGAAAAACTCTGCTAGCCTAGAACCGCACACTGGCGGAGATCACAAGGAAAGGACGGCGCTGGGAGGGAGATGAACGCCGCGCGCATCCGTACAACAGCGCTCACGCAACCAGCGGCCGGCACCTACAGTGCCGGCGCCCGTCAGCTACCGCGCGAGCCGTTCGAGGCGGCCGCGCGACGACTCGCCCATCCCACGGCGCGCGCCCCTACCCGCGAAACTATCAAAAGAAACGCCCCGACCTCAGAAATAAGCGTCGCTATCTTGAAGCTGAGGCGAGACTTCGAGCCCATGCGGCTCTTGAAGCTGGGCGGTCGAGGAACTATCGGCGGCTGAGACGCGCCGGCGACAGATGCTGCGCGTGCGCTGTAAAGGCCGCCGATGCCCGCTATGCGCCGGTGAGCGATGCTTGCTCGGCGGACGACAAGTCGTTAGGCCGCCGCCGCGCCGTGGTAGCCATCGGAGTCGTCAAGTCTTCTTGATCTCCGTGCTCCGAGAGGATGCGGTCGAGCGTGCGTCGCGCGAGACGGGCCGACAGCGAGTCAGCCGAGGGCAGGCGCGCGAGCGAGGTCCTTCATTCGTCGCCCGCGCCGCTGCTGCGCTGATTGTACAGGTTGCGCTGCGCATCTCCTGCGCTCTGCTGGTCCTTGAGCGTGCGCCCACCTGGCGGGAGAGACAACGAACCGGTGAGATAGGCCGAGTGATGAGTTGTTCGTGAAACGGGCGTTGCGTCAACAGATCGTCGCGCTAAAAGAATTTGCGACGATTATTATAAGTAAGGTATAAAACGTCGTTTGTTACGATTTGCAATACACATATATTTAGTACGGTTTACGGCAGCAGTGAG